GGGGAATAATCTTTTCCCTCAACCTGCCGGCAATGCTTCATAATGAAGCCCAATATGCAGTTAGCCTTCTTTTCAGCAAGGCACACTGCTGGCTCATATTCAGCTTACTGTCCACTGTAACCCCCAGGTCCTTTTCTGCAGAGCTGCTGCCCAGCCTGTACCAGTGCATGAGATTGTTCCATCCTAAGTGCAGGTTTTTGCACTTGTCCTTATTGAACCTCAAGAGATTTCTTTTGGCCCAATCCTCTAATTTGTCTAGGTCACTTTGAAGCCTAGTCCAACCCTCCAGTATATCCACTACTCCCCTTGGCTTGGTGTCATCTCTAAACTTGCTGAGGGTGCACTCTATGCCATCTTCCGGATCACTGATAAAGACATTGAACAAAACCAGCCTTGGGACCGACCCCTGGGGCACTCCACTTCCTACCAGCTGCCAACTAGACATAGAGCCACTGATTACTACCCTCCAAACCTGATGCCCAGCCAGTTTTCTATCCACTTTACAGTCAATTCATCCAGCCTGTATTTCCTTAGCTTTCCTGAAAGAATGTTGTGGGAGACCATATCAAAAGCCTTGTTAAAATCAAGGTATATCACATCCACTGGTCTCCCTGCATCCACAGAGCCAGTCGCCTCATCATAGAAGGCAGTCAGGGTGGTCAGGCATGACTTGCCCTTGGTGAATCCATGCTGATGTTCCTAATCACCTTCTCCTCCAAGTGCTTAGAAATGGATTCCTTGACGATCTCCTCCATGATTTTTCCAGGGGCTGTGGTGAAGCTGTTTGGTCTGTAGTTCCCTGGATCCTCCTCTTTCCCTTTCTTAAAAATGGGCACTATGTTTGTCCTTTTTCAATCATCCGGGACCTCACCTGATCACCATGAGTTTTCAAAGATGATGGCCAGTGGCTCTGAAATTTCATCAGCCAGCATCCTCAGCACTCATGGGTGCATCCCATCCAGCCCCTGGACCTGTACACATCCAGTTTTTCTAAATATTCCCTAACCTGTTCTTTTGCCCCTCCTGCTTGCTCACCTCATCCCCAAACTGTGCTGCCAAGTGCAGTAGTCTGGAAGCTGACATTGCCCATGAAGACTGAGGTGAAAAAAGCATTGAGCACTTCAGCCTTTTCTGCATCCTCTGTCACAAGGCTGTCTCCCCCATTCACTACAGGACCCACACTTTCCCTGATCTTCCTCTTGCTACTGATATACTTGTAGAAACCCTTCTTGTTACCCTACACGTCCCTTGCTAGCTGCAACTCCAACTGCACTTTGGCCTTCCTGACTTCATCCCTGCATGTCTGAGCAATGCTGTTATATTACTCCCTAGTTATTTGTCCAAGTTTCGACTTCTTATAAGCTTCCTTTTTATGATTTAGTTTACTGAAGAGTTCCCTGTTAAGCCGATCTGGTCTTCTGCCATATTTGCTAGTCTTCCTGCACATCGGGATGTTTTGTTCCTGCACTCTCAATCAGGCTTCTTTAAAGTACAGCCAGCTCTCCTGGACTCCTCCCTGTCAGTCTGGCCTCCCAGGGGATCTGGCCCATGAGTTCTCTGAGCAAGCTGAAGTCTGCTTTTCTGAAATCTAAGGTCCATACTCTGCTGCTCTCCATCCTTTGTTTCCTTGGGATCCTGAACTCAGTCATCTTGTGGTCACTGCTGCCCAAGTTGCCATCCACTACATTCCCCACCAATTCATCCCTGTTTGTGAGCAGCGAGTCAACAAGAACATGGCCCCTAGTTGGCAGCTCCAACACTTGCACCAGGAAGTTGTCCCCAACACTTTCCAAAAACTTCCTGGATTGCCTGTGCACTGCTGTATTGCCGTCCCAGCAGATGTAAGGGTAATTGAAGTTCCCTATGAGAACCAGGGCTTGCAATCCGGAAACTTCTGATAGCTGTTTGAAGAAAGCCTCATCCACCACTTCCTCCTTGTCTGGTGGTCTATAGCAGATACCTACTTCCTTCCACTTTCCACCATCCAGTAACTTTGAAGTCATGGTAGGCAGGTAACAGAAGCATAGGCAGGCCAAGTGAAGGTAGTGGTAGAACAGCACTGTCTCTAGATACCTTTACAGTCCTCTTTTAACAAGCCAGAGGGAACTCCTAACTGAAGATGCAAAAGAAGAGGATCTACTCAACAGATACTTTGCCTTAGCCTTCACAAAAAAACTAAGCTGCAGTCAGGCACCTAATAAGGATTATCTGGATAAGAAAAGGGGGCAAGCTGTGGAAGGAGATAAAAAAAGAGAGAGTCAGAGAGCTTTTGTGGAGTCTAAATGAATTTAATTCAGCAGGGCCAGATGAACTTCATCCCGGGGTCCTGAAGGAACAGGAAATCTTGGAGCCCTTGGCTTCATGAAGTTGTGGGAAATTATGCCAGGTACCAGGGGACTGGAAAAGGAGCCAGTGTAGTGCCCTTCTTTAAAAAAGGAAAAAAGGAGGATCCACGGAGCTCCAGACCAGTTAGCCTCACCTCAATACCTGGAAAGTTACTGGCGCATATCCTAAGGAAGACCATTTGTAAGCATCTGGAGGAGGAAAGGCTGATCAAAAGCAGCCATCGTGGACTTACGAAAACAAATCATGTCAGGCAAACTTGATCTCCTTCTTTGACAAACTAACTACTTGGGTGGATGAATGGAATTCTGTGGATATTGTGGCTTTTGACAAGGTCTGGCATGACTCTCTTACAAACAAATTGAAGAAATGCAGGCTAGGTAAAACGACTAAAATTGAAGAAATGTGGGCTAGGTAAAACTACTACAGTGTGGATAGATAACTGACTCAATAGCTGTAAACAAAGGGTAATAGTTAATGGGTCCATGTCAAAATGGCAGGAGGCTTTGTGTGCCGTCCCACAGGGGTCTGTCCTGGGCCTGATGCTGTTCAATGTGTTTCTTGATGATTTGGATGCTGACACGGAAAGCTTCTTGAGCAAGTTTGCAAACGGCATGAAACTGGGGAGGATTATGAACACATTGGAGGATGCAAGAGCAATTCAGAAGGATCTCAACAGATTCGGAAGTTGGGCTAGAGCTAACAGGATAAAGTTCAGTGCAGGCAAATTAAAGGTGCTACACCTCAGGAGAAATAATCAAAAATACAAATATAAAAAGGGTGACACCAGGCTGGATGGCAGCACTAAGAAAAAGGACTCTGTCTGGAGTCTTGGTAGATTACAGACTCAGTGGGTGCATCTACATGAGATGTTATGTTGCCATAGCGACCAACGACCATGCCATGATTCATCACTATGGTGACATAGTGTCGGCGGGCACAAACCGTAACACTGATGCAACTGTGCAGTAGCTTGTTGCTACTGCACAGTAGGGTCAGAAATGACCTGTGTGCTGCTGGGACTGTGCAGTAATGGCAGTTACTGTGCAGTCATTTAGTACTTTCTTTAGTAAGTCATTTAGTACTTGTTACTGTGCAGTCCCACAGGGACACAGGTCAGTTCTGACCCTACTGTGTAGTAGCAACGAGTTATTGTGCAGTAGCCCATTCCTACTGCACAGTAGCATCAGCATCACAGTTCATGCCCATCGACATTACATTGCTAAAACAAGTACTGAGTGACTGCACATTAACCGCCATTACTGCGCAGTCTTGGCAGTGCATTTCCAACCCTACTGTGCTACTGCACGGTAGCATTGGCATCATGGTTCATGCTCAGCAGTCACTACAGCAGTCACACTGTTGCTATGGCTATGTCACATCTTGTGTAGATGTGCCCAGTATGGGTTTGTAGTGTGATGCAGCCAAAAGGCGAATGCAGTTTTGGAATTTATCAATAGAAGTATTAGGAGCAAAACACAGGAGATGACAGTGTCTCTTTACTTGACACCAGTTATACCTCATCTGGAGTGCTGTGAGCAGTTCTGGGCTCTGCATTTTAAAAAAGATGTGAAGATGTTAGAGAGGGTCTAGAGGTAGGCAACAAAGATGATAAAGGGCTTGGAAAGCGAGTCATATGAGCGGATCCTGAAGGACCTAGACAGTGGAAAAGGTGCTTAACAGGGGGCACGATAGCTTTCTTCAAATACTTGAAGAACTTCCATAAAGAAGAAGGAAAACATCTTTTCTCTCTTGCTGCAGAGAGGAGGATGCAGACCAATGGCTTGAAGTTGAAGCAAAGTAAGTTTAGATTGGATATCCAGAAAATCTTCTTCATTGTTACAATAGTGAGGCAGTGGAATAGACTACCTAGGGAAGTCATGGACTCTCCATGACAAGACGTGTTCAAGAATAGGTTGGAGAGTCATTGGCTGGGGATGATCTAGGCACAACTATGCCTGTGTTCTATTGTAGGTAGTTCCCATGCTTCTGGGCTTTTCTGGTTACATCTACCTTCCTGCTATATGTGTCAGGGTGTTTTTAAGCCTTCCTCAGACCTTGGCTACCATGGTTCCCTTGCTTTACCTGTGGCAGGTTAGGGTGTTTCCGGGTTGACAGTCTTATGTAGAAGTTAGATGAAGGATTGTATCAGATAGACATGATCCTGCTTCAGGCAGGGTGCTGGACTAAATGACCTCTGGAGATCCCTTCTGGCCCTATTTCTCTGATTCTATGTTGACTTTAATTCCCATTCATACCTACCAAGGACCAAATCTATTATATAGGCCTCCTTCAGAAGTCATAGACATTTCTCTCTAGAACTTATGTTCATGGTCAGCAGCTAGCCTAAGTGTACACTAGGATGTCTTTTGCTGGCATTCCAGATATAATATGCTATAGCTGTGGATAATGTGGGTAGAATGCCAAAAATCCCTTGCTTCCTCTGCTTCCTTCTTGAAAAAATAAATGAGTTAGGAGGAGGGGAAGGGAGGGAGGAAAGAATTCCAACACTCAGGGCAAATCAGATATTTGCAATGAAAGAATGCTTCTTCAAGATAGCCCAGCGTACACAGGAAGGAGGTCAATATCTCCCTGGGAACTAATTGTACCTTCTCTCCTTTGTTTTCCTTTCTTCCCTTCTTCTGGTTGGATGGAAGGTGGTCTTCAGTAAGTATTGCAATTCCAAAGATATTATGGATCTCTTCTGCATTGCCACTGGGTTACCAAGGTAGGTGTCACCTCATAGTCTATATCAAACGTAACATGCATTTCAGTGTATTGTTCCCTCTTCAGAACAATTGAGAAATGGACCCAAAAAGAAGAAGCAAGATCTTAATCTAGTGCCCCAGCTGCATCTCTTGTTCCAGTTATTCAAGGATGAGAAATTGGGGAAATGCAGTAATTCATACCTTGTGCATAAATTAGAAAAGTGCTTAATGCACTGCTGGAAGGTGTCAGATACCTCAGTGCTGGATGTATTAGAATAGAATAGAATAGAATAGAATAGAATAGAATAGAAGTGTATGTCAAGAAATTACAGACAACTCCAGTCAGTTTTGCATTTGGAGTGAATAGACATGTGAATCTAGGCCAAAGTCCAGATATCCAAACACAGTATGCCCATTGATACTTAAGGAACCAAAATATCACAATTGTCCATGTCCAGGGCTATGCTTTCCCTTATTTCTATTACTTCTGCAGAGGCCTAAAAATGTTATGTGTTTGGTACTCCTGGCATTTGTTTTGTTTTGTTTTGCTTTGTTTTGTTTTACTTGTCATGGGATTTGTATCCCTGAATCGCCACACAGAGAGTAGGTTTCAATTTAAACCTTTGCCTTCAGTAGGCCTTTTGCATATGGAATGCACTCGGTTCCTACTGGACTCTGGGCAGCACAGACCCTTCTAAAGGAGGTATGCAGAAAGGAGTATGATAGGTCTTATTTCTTAAGTTTGTGTCCACACAGTGTACCAAAACTGGGGGCCGGGAGGTGGTGGGGTGGAGAAGGGAGGAATGTGGGGAGTGCTGGAACAAATCATAGAATCACAGGGATATTCTGTGCAATTAACTTTTATGGTGTTTGGTGGAGGGAGGAGCATCATATTGACTGTATTGGCTACAGTTTTTTAACATAAAACTTTGGATGGAGTCCTGTCATAGTGACAAATCAATATGGTTTGTTGTTTACCCTGACAATATCCCTCTCATTTTACATTAGAGAGGTTAATAACTGTGATTTGCCTGTAATGTCAAACACTTCCGCTCCATCACCCAGAAAACCTTATTTAACCATATAAGTAATTCACGAACAATAACAGGCTGCTCAATGAAATGCTCTGTGTTGTGTTTCATTTTTAAATAGGGGCTTGCAAAAGACTATTGAGGCATCACTAATTTTAAACCAGCTCCTGGAAAACTAATTTTTTTACATGAATCCATGATGTCAAAACTAGAAAATGCATTGCAGTATTTTCTGGAATTCTTTCAGCAAGGGATATTGTTATTTGTTTTTGTAAAGGAGCTTGTTTAGAAATTTCTAAATTCCCCATATTAAAAGAACACCAGTGGTGATCCCTTATGTAGCATGGACCTAAGGGACATAAGGGATGTTGGATTGTATATGTATTGTCTTAAAGTAAATATTGATATTGATTTCCAGCTCAGGCAGTTTATATCTGTCTAGTAAATCAATCTTGATAGCTCTTCAATAGAAGTTAATGGCAGATAATTAAACGGAGCACAGCCTATATGATTTCAAAGAAAGCAAAGATCCTTCAGAGGATAGGCTTGACCATACTTCATTTTTAGTCACAAAAAACTCCTGTGGTTGGGATATGGACAGAACATAGCCACAGGACATCCAAACTTCCATTGCCTTGCTCCTTACATAGCCAATAATGCAAAATGGATGTGACATGGCAGCCAGTCAAAATGGGGGAGATTATGTCCACTTAGCAAGGAAGCTAACGGCAGCATAAGATCACAAGCACAATCAAGACCGTCCTGTTCTAGTTAAATAAATCTCTTGGAAACGTGTCTTTCAGGAACACAACAATCTCACTTTTGACATTGGATAACTGCATGGTGTCCATTGATCCAACAATGCCAGCAAACTCAGAGAGGTAGGTTTTTTAAGGGCCTAATACCATAGGATGGAGTGAAAGCCAAGCAAAAAGCTTTTTCTTGGCCACAAGTGCTCTTCTTATGTTTCTGAGCATTAAAGATTCCCTTCTGGGAGGTAGATGTCAGCAACAATTGTACACAGGATTAGAACACTGATGCTTCTTTGGTTTTGACTTTTACTCTTCATTAAATTAGGACTAGTTATTCAAGAAAATGAATACTGCATGTAAGTATTTAATGTAGGACATCTGTTCCCAACCCTCTCTGTTTGCTGTCAAGCTCCCAGCTCTCTTTGTTCACTGGCTTCTTTATTGCTTTATCAGAACCTAGGCATGTCATTATTTGCAAACAGGAACCCAAGACTTTTATGAGGCATGGACTCATTTGCATACAGCTCTACTCCCTTCTCTAAATCCCTTTTGGTCTCTGGCTTCTGACTGCATGTTCAGCTTTGCTAGTCTTCTTTATTATTATTACTGAAGTACCACCTAGGAGATAATCTAGAAACCACTGTGCTGGATGCTACACAAGTACAAGTTGGGCCCCAAAGAACTTCTACCTTCCAGTAACAAGTTCCTGAGCCTGTCTGTTCCCAATCTAACATGATTCTTCCCAAAGGGAGAGGTGTTTCTGCTGTGCTGGCAGTATGCCTCTTGTGCATTTTAGCACCCTAAAACAGCACATCTGAGACCTCTAAGAAGGCCAGTTCAATAGTAAAGTGCACTTCCTAGAAGGCATCTTTTTATTTCCGTGGACACATTTTCACACACACACAGACTTAAGTATTTATTAAAATACTTACTCCTTCTCTTCATGGCATTTACATCAGTCCTGCACCACAAATAGCTTTATCAGTGTTGTCATAGCCAACCCTCTTTTATGTTTTACAGTAATCCATACAAAGTGATACCTGTGACCACTGGGCATCTATCAGGTAAAATATCTTTATTTTAACCTAACATTTATTAAAACACCTTTATGACTCAGTTACCAGTTTTGGATTCTTTTTAAAAACTGTAATTGAAAAAATATATCACATGTAAATCTAGCGGCAGTGTTAACCTCCCCCCCCGAATAATTAATATGGTTATAGCTATGCTATAGCAAAAAAAAACCCACTTGCTCAAAAGACCCTATATGTAGAACTTCAACAAAATGTTTGATTCACAGTTATAAGATATTTGCAGGCAGCCAGCACTCAGGATGGAGGAATACCTGCGCACACAGATCAGGGGATTTTCAAAAGTGCTCAGCATCTATCTGACTCTGCCCCCACTGACGTGAAGAGAAAAGTCTCATCATGTTCAGAGGGAACAGTTCAGGTCAATGCTGGCCATCTTTGAAAATTGCACCCAACATCTGGACCCTCAGTGCTTTGGAAAGGCTCAGAAAATGGGGCTGTTCCATGAAGCAGTTACTTACTGCACACAGTATAGCTTTAGCTACATTTAACAGGACCAAAGGCACTCTGGATGGAAGAGAACAATCCACATACAAGGGCTTTCAGGAAGCAATTTCAAAACAAAACAATTTTGTGTGCAATGTGTGAGGAAACTCCACAGAACTGGAGACCACTGATGGCAGCATTGTTGAATGCACCCATTGCTCAGAACTATGTAGGGAAGTGATATCACTGAGCAAATAATCAGTGCACACACAATGATTTCAAGGTTTTATTTCAAGATTGCCAGTACCTTTTAACACAGCTAGTATACACTATATGTTCTTCCAGAGCTCAGTCTCCAAAGTAAATAGGTTGTTGTTCCATCTACAAAGGGAACAGAAAGGCATTCTGCCCTGTTTATGCCATGCTTTCTCTCTATTTCTGAGTGCTGTGCTTAGGTTAATGGCTTCCGCATTGTGCAGCACCAGTGGTCTGCAGGGCATTTGCTTGGCTTGAGCCCCATCAATGCCAGGACCCACTGCCACTGTGGTGTAGACAAGCCCCTAGGGTATTTTTGACTTCTGACATTTTCCCATGGTCCTAATTCTTACACTAGCTGACAGTGACAGGAAATGCCTTATGCAGAGTACAATTTGTTATTTAAACATTTTTGCTGTGTTCTTGCTGCATTTTGCAAAGTACAGCATACCCAAAGATCGCCCAGGGAAAGGGGAGAAAAATTTCTGTGGGTTTCGATGCCAAAGCAGGCAGACCGTTTCTGATATGGAAAGAGTAGAATTGGATGATATTCAAGGAATGTAATGCTTGTTTCATGTCTGTTTGTCTTACATTGACTGGCATTAATTTTAAATATTCCTGACATTTTTCAGACAGTGGAAATACTTGTTTTCTCGCCTCTTTCTCTCTCCCTCTTTGTTAAGACTTTCAATTCTTGTCTTCTCTTTTCAACCCAGACCAACTGCATTAGGAGTGTGCATCCATCTTCTGCTTTCAGAGCAAGTAGCTATTAGACCAAATACGTGCCAGAAAGGGTTGCAGCATTTTCTGGAAGGAGTGGAGCTACTATTCCTCTTCTCCAGTGATCTCTGATATGACTCGAAAATAGTGAGGTGCACTTCATGGAAAGAGTACAAAAAGTGAGATTGAAAAATATAACCCTTTGTCACTGTAGCAACTTCTCCACAATTAGAGTGGCACATAAGAGTGCTGCTGAGAGATGGTTCATTATTTCCTGATCATCACCTGAGATGGACCAGCACTATAAAAGATTTCTTTCCAGTAGCATGACTGAAGAACATTCATTGACTCCAGTAGCAGCTGTTATTTTACAGGTGAATTGATTAGATATCTTCCATTCAAAGCTATTGATCTATTTCCTCAGGTTAGACCAGGGTTAGGCGGCACAAATTAAGGGCTGTAGTAAAGTTAAAGCATTTTGCAATGTTCTAGTTTGCCAGTGTGATGGCATTAGTATCATGTTCTATGAGGGAAAAAAGGTGCTGTAGGACTCAGTCAGTTCATATATGCTTTGGTTCATGTGGAAGGGTAACTCTTTTGGATACTACTACACTTTAACAAAGCTAAATAGAAGACCCATGGAATGATGAGCCAGCCTGTAAAGAGCTCGTCCATTAATGAACAACTAGAAAGAGACTTTTTGAGTTAAGCCACTGATTGCCATTGCTTGGAGGCAGTGAATTCATCCAGTGGCAGATCCAGAATTTTGAAAAGGGGGGTGCAGATGGTGAGATGCACCATCTCATATGAAATGACACATTTTTCTCCTGTTAAACTAGAAACTTTACTGGTATGCCAGGGGCCTAAGGCTGTACTGAAGCAAAAACAAATATAACTTCATTGGAATGAGTTAAGAACAATCTGCAGGGCTGTGAAATAGGAGCTTCATTACCAGGAGCAGCTAACAGACTGCAGAATTGAAGAACATAGGATAGCTTGATGGGGAACATCAAGGCCATTAAAAAGAAGAGAGAGTCATTAGCACCTGTGGAATGAAGAGTTTAGAAGGGATCAAGTAGATTATATGGACCATGAATCAATTGACTCCCTCAGCACTGTCTGACTAGAAATGTTGCTGCCACTGCCAGGCAGGAATCAAAGAGGAGGGGAGTGCAAGTGTACCAGTGTACCCCCACCCCCCCAACACCATCCTGAATTCACCGTACACTTTTTTTTATGCCACTACCACTAGCTCATTCAAGCAGAAAATCACAACAATGGTAATCTGAGGACTGAGGTGGAAATGCATGCTGATATGCAGAGGCCAGTAGCTTCTCTGTCCTTCTGATTGTGATTTAGACCAGCAGTTTTCAACTTGGGGGCCATAAGCAGGTTTTAAAGGGTCCACCAGAGCAGGGAGGAGCTGCCTCATCCCTCCAGGGCAGAGGCGAGTCCTGAGGAAGGGGCAGGCACTCAGCAATATTGTGAGCCATGCTGCAGGTAGGTGGGTGAGGCTCTGTGCTGCTGCTGCTCAGGAGGGTCGACCCCACCAAGCCATGCTCGCTGAACCCGGGGATGTGCAGGAAGTGCTGGGGAGCCAGGCCAATGGGTCATGGAGTTTTTATAGCATGCTATGGGGGCTTCAGGAAGTCAAAGGTTGAGAACCCCTGATCTAGACCACTGCTTCAAGAGATCATAACGTTGATCACTCCTTTCTAAAGGGCCTCTAGAGAACCAATACATTCTATTGTTAGCCAAGACAAAATATGAAAAATGCATCTGTGCCTCCAACTTCCCTTGCCATTTAAATGAGTCTTTTAAATTAGCAAGTTATCAAGTGCCTGCATGGAAGCATAACCAAGATTTCCTCCCAGAGATACCAGCTGGAATTGGAAAAGCTAAATCAACATGGATTTCTGTAGCTTCCTGGCAGGAGACCTGTGTGAGAATCTATTAATAGCCCTATTTCCTGGATTGATGAGTCCATTGATGATACATGGGACCTCAAGTGAGAGCCACAGAGATTTTTTTTTTGGAATGGTTAAATATATACACTACCAATCTTGCGCCTATTCATTATTTGCAAAATGACAGAAATTTGTCACACTGCCTAAATCTACATATATTATGACCTATCTGCTTTTATTGATGACGCAAGTTAGCTCTTAAAACTTATGCAAGAGTGTGTGACATGCTATTCTGACCAGCAGTGTCTTAAGGACAAAGCCTCCCCTCATCCTATGGAGCTGCTTCCTACATAGGCTAGGGACAGACATTACACATAAACCAGTTTAAGTGATCAGAAACTGGTTTAAACCTGTAACAGAACAGATGTTCAGTGCACAGAAACCAGTCTGAAAATGGCTGAAACTGGTTTGACATAAATCTGGTTGAATGTATTATCAGACTTAATTGATTTGGGTCAAACTGATTTATGCAATGTCTGTCGCAGGCCCCTTGCTCATTTAAGTTAAATCAGACTCCCCCAGCATCCCAGCATGCTCTCTGGGCTGGGCAGGGCTCTCTGCTTCAGAGCAGAGCTGGTCCCTCCCCTCTGCTGTCTGGCTGGAACTCTGGCAGAGACTAGGTATCTGTCTGTCTTCCCTCGGCCCTATCCTCCCCGTCACTGCTCAAGCAGGAATCCCCCTCTCCCTCCTTCCCATCCCCCACACCATGGAACCCAGCCCCATGGACCCGAGGCATATGGTATGCTAACTAATGCTGAGCGGTGTCTGTGTGTACCTCCAATTTCACTGGGCCAGGCAGACAGAACAGTAACTACTTAGGGCATTTTTGGAGCTAATCAACAGGTCAGCTGGTAAGCTAGTTAAGAAAAGGTTTAACTAATAGAGAGAGGCTATTATTTTACTAATGAGGTGATAAATACTGTTATCAGGTCCCTGCTGGCTTGCTTGCCTGTCAGTTTCCTGCGGAGAGTATATAGAAGCAGGGAGGGAGTTGGAAAAGCTCAGTATCATCAACAGATGCATGCACTGCCCATCCCACCTTGCCTCAGAGTGCTAGCAGGGGGCTGGGGCCCAGCAACACTCCTGCCCCTTGAGCAGCTTCTAGCCTGAGCCACTGCAGGCATGTGCCTGAATTTCCTCAGTCCAGAGAGCATGTCTGTCCAGTTACAAACCAGTTCGGCTTTGCCAGGTTGGACTAACCCGCAAAGATTGAATCAATTCAGGCTCAGGCTTTTTGAATGTCTGTCCCTAGCCATAATGTGCCCATGCCAGAATTGCACTGGGCTGAACTCTGATCTCAGGATTCCAGTATATATCTGAGAGCAGCTGACTGACAAAAGGATGACTCCTCTGGGTGTAAGCTGGCAAGCTGCTGTTCAGATTAACTGGTGGAGCACTCTTGGATGATTAGCCGAAATGGATTTAGCATCATGACATTTTTTGGAGATGGTTTCTAAGGTTTTGGCCATCTGAGTCAGAGGTGTAGCAAGTTCATTCAGTGCTCAGGGCAGTAGGGGGTTGGGAGCGGGTGCAATACTGGGTTCAGGGTTGCTCCTATGACCAGGCAGGGGCAGCACAGAAAAGGGTGAATCTGGGGTTTCCTCGTAGTCAGTGCCTGGGGCTGCTGCCCTGCTCGCCCTGCTCTAGTTATGCTACTGATCTGAACTTTTATTTTTGAAGTCTTTTAGTCATTCTAAACCAAACACGATACTCAGGGTTGAAGCCCAGCTGGGAGCTGAGCAGAGCGTCAGCCTCAGAGAGCTGTGGTGAAAGTGGCTGCAAGGGCAAGATTTTCGCAGGACTTGCTTGGTGACATAGGGAGGAAAGTTGCAGGGAGTCCCCACCCTGCCAACTTCAGTTGGCAACTCCAGCTGTTTCCAGGAAGGTCACGGCCACTTGCCCGCAGTGAGCAAGTCGGGGGGGGGGGGGGGAATGGCTTCGACTGTCCCTTCACATTGGCCACAATAACTGGCACAGCGCTGAGGGAGAAGAAAGGCACTCCACAAACAGGGGTCAAGTAATATGTTGTCCCATGAGCAAAGCAAGGGGAGAAGCTTGGGGGAGGAAGGGAACCATTTGGGCAGTTTAACAACGATGAGGTAAGAGCCACGTGGGCTGCCACCTATGTACCCTAACCAGGAGCAGCATGTACCTGTGCCCCGCTAATGGCTCTTGGTTCTGGCAGCAAAAATCTGTGGCCAGTGCCAATCTGTGAGGCTGTGCCACAGCACAGAGCACAATGGAAGTGCTTTTTCTGCATTCATATACACTTGCTTTCTGGCCAAGCCTGAGGATTCCTGGACTTAGGCCTTTAAAGAGAGGGAGAAAGAGAACAGAACACTCCCCTCCAACTCCCTGTTGCAGATCTCATGTACACACTATGGATCAGGAGGCACTACTTCACGGTCAGGGCGGCTAGGATCTGGAACCAACTTCCACAGGAAGTGGTGCTGGCTCCCACCCTGGGGGTCTTTAAGAGGAGGCTGGATGTACACCTTGCTGGGGTCGTTTGACCCCAGTACTCTTTCCTGCCCATGGCAGGGGGTCGGACTTCATGATCTCCTCAGGTCCCTTCCGACCCTAGAAACTATGAAACTATGATCTCTACAAAATACCAAGCACTCATTTGGGGTCTGCAGTCCCATGACTATCAGACGAGAAGCCTTGCTGTGACTCCCACATACACAAGTACAAAATAAGCAATGGATTGCCACAGGATGACTTGAATTTTGCCTGTAACATTTCCAACATCTTGTTAGTGCCCTGTTGTTTGAAGGGGATCTCTTCTTGATGTTTTTTACTCGCTAAGTGTTGTTGAGGGGAAAATTGCACTACTTTGTACTAGTTTTGATCTTGCCAAACTACATCCACTTCAGATCTTCCCTACTTGTCACCTTTTGAGATTTTTAGACTGA